AGAAATAAAATTACTTTAAGGAATTACCTTTCAATTATTAGTGCTTGTATTAATGTATCAAACTGTCTTCTTGTGTTAAATTAATTCTTACCTTAATATCACGTCCTCCTAATAGTGACAAGTTACTAATATCTGATAATGATTCATCAGCTAGGATCTTCTTCAATCCTGTACGTCTAGTACCATTGGTAACAAGAAATGGTCGTTGTTCAACTACTGCTGAGAGTACAGCTTTTACACTATACACTGTCCTTTCTCTTGGTGTATTCACAGGATAGGCTAGTTCTTTAGGATCAATAACTAACTCTTTTACCTCTAGACTGGGACAGGATTCTTTATAAACACTCATTACCTCTCCTATCACACCTCTTCTTAGAGACACCATATTGTCACTGTAACCTTTCTCACAGGACATCATTACTAGTACACACTGGCTCTCATTCACAATCTCTACCAGTGATCCTACACCATGACCATTAAACCAGTATAGCCCATTCTTCCAAAATGTACAGTAACGATTTAACTTGTCATCTTCTTGAGGTAGAGCCATTTTGTAAGCAAGACGTAACGAGAGGACATGGAAGTATCGAGGAGGAAAGAAATGATGTTTACTAGTACACTGTAGACACCAACCAAACTGGTACAGTTGACTAGTCATCTCATCAGGTCTATCAGTAGACAAAAGACATGGAAAGAACAACAACCTTTCTCCTCTTCTTTCTGTCCCTCCCTCCTCCTCCTCTTCCACTGCTAACTGATGGAGGTTTGTAATTCTTAGAAAAGATGGACTAATTTCTTCACAGAGTTCCATGTTCTTTAGAAAACGAATCAACATGTCAGGATCATATTTAGAGAAGAGTCTAGTCAGACCAGACACACTAACAATACCAGTATTGCTAGCAATGTCAACGTGTTCTTTGAATGTCTCTGGAGCAAAGAGAATCCCATTCACCTCAGTTAGCAGTATACCCTTATTCACAACAACCCATACCTTGTCTTCACTTTTAAGAACACTGATCAAACCAGTTGACTGTAATGAATCTAAAACATCCAAGACGTCTTCTCTCTTATCTGGTATGAAGTAATCATCATTGTCCTCAGTAGCAGACATTACATCAGAGAGGGTCAGTATATTCTCTTTTGTTTCCTCCAGTAGACCATACATCATGTGACAATAAAGACTCAAATTCCTTCCACTTGTACTACGAATGGACTCACAGGCACTAGACAACTTATTAAAGAAGGAATCCACACCACTCCCACCAAGCTTACGACAATCTAAAAAGACACCGTAACACTTCTCTTTTACAATAATCTCCTGTATTTCCTCCTTTCTCATTCTCCTTTCAACAGGATTACTTATCTCATCCACATGACTGACTATTGCAATAACATGGCATTGATTAAGAGCTTTTTGTGCTTCATTTCTGACAACTGTTAGCCACTGATGAAGCTGTTTGACTGGTTCCTTCTCCAATATATTGACTACTATGAGGAACACACAACCAGAACCTTGTAAGAGATTCTCAATGACAGCACTGTGACTGGAGTAGTATTCTGAATGACCAGCAAAATCATGAAGAATGATGTTACCCAGTGTCCTGTGTTTGAGTTTATAAGGAATGATACCAGCAGTACAGGGCACTACCCCTCCAACATTTCTTAAAGAACCAAGAAGAGTTAGACTAGCTGTGTCATTGATGACTTGACTAAGAGTACTTTTACCAGCTCCAGGATTACCCACAAGGAGGACGTTAACATAAGAATCAATTGGATGAGATGATTTTATATCACCAAACTTCTTAAAGATAGGAAGAGTATTACCCCAGTCTCTCTGCTTTGCCTCTTTAGCTAGTTGTAATGGTGTTTGCCCCTGTTTGTTTTTAGCCAATGGATCGCATTTACCAGTTGATAGTAAACATTCAACAACTACAGATTGACCAAAATGAGCAGCATAGTGAAGTAGTGTCCACCCCCCATTGTCATCAGTCATTGGATCACAGTGACACTCATTGATTAGATATTTGATTACATCAGGTGAGCCGTACTGAGGAGCTTCTTCATCATACTCATAGGTAAACCCATAAATGAAATATCTTATCACAGTAAGATGATTACATCGTGCAGCCCAATGAAGACAAGTCCGACCTCCACTATCTTTTTCCTGTGGGTCACAGTGATATTTAGTGATGAGATCTTTTGTAACATCTAACCAGCCATTCTCTGAAGAAAAATGAAGTAAACTTGCATTATCCCATATATAAAATCTTCTTTTAATTTTATTTGGTTCCTTCACTAATGGTAGTAAGGTAACAGCTTCTGTACGATATCTATTCTTAAAAGCAAGCCAACAGTTGTCCTCTAATGACATCTTGTGATAAGTTAATTAGATTCATTGTTACCATATTAGGAATAGGAATTCACTAGAAGAATGTAGAACATTCAAGGGGCGAGCCTAAGCAAGCTATAGATTATGTGCTGTATGATCTACATGTACATGTATGAGCAAAAGAGCAAGCAAAGCAATTTCACAAGTCTGTAGATCTTGTTGCCTTAAATTTTCTCCATCACTTCTGCAGAATCTCTGCAGCAATTAAATATAGCTTGCTTATTGGACTTGCCACGCTTGCGTAGGCGGGTACGAAGCAGTTGGGTTGTCATTTTGTCATTCTGTCCACACAGTTTAATTGATTTGTAAAAAATATCTTTTTGTCTGAGCAGTCTTGAGCTATATTTCTTCTTCTAGCAACAGATAAAGTTGCTTTTTTCATCTAGTTATGCTCTTGTAGCATCCCGTGGCACCAAAAGCTGTGAACTGCTAAACCAGGGAACCTCTCTCTTTAGGTGAGAGCTCATGTTTCACTCTACAGGGCTGAGATTTGCTTCAGAGGTAGAAAATTTCATGTAACAAAAAACTAAAAGAACGATTTTGTCCTAACTTTGTTGTTTGTGAGTTACAGTTGCTCAAAGTTTGTGATTTAGCCTCTTTGAAAATTTTTCAGATGTCACTAGGGAAATCAAGAGCAACCAAACTTTCTCAGTGTCTTTTAAACATCTAGAAAAATTTTTTGTGCCAACTCTTTTTTTGAATAGAGCTTCAGATGCTAAAATAAATTTCAGCTTTTCTTCTTTCTCCTACCCATGTGCCATGATTTAGCTAGCTAGTTGT